GGCAGCGGGAAGCAAGGGACATTGAATCCAAGCTGGTCTCCTTTAATTTGGAGGGGAGCGCGTCTTTCCATTCCTCTGCCCTTTGAAAGCAGCCCACGTTTTGTAGCGCTTTTTTGGGGGGAGGTTTCTTGGAGAGTGAAGGGCGTGGAGGGAGCGGGTTCGAGAGCCCCCCAGGGCTGCTGCCTTTGGCCCAGCAAAGGGCCCTCCGAGGTTGGCCACGGCTTGGTTGCCAGGCTGAGAGTTTGCCACCAGGCATCGCCCACCCACCCCCTGGGGGTGATTCTGCAATTCGGGGGATGCCCACCGTTAAGGGGAGGACATGGTTCCGTTTTGGTTCACCTCCCTGTGGGTCTGGTAAAGAGGAGGGAAATCTGCTTTGTTCTGGCAGAAGTGGCTTTGTTCTTAAGCGGCCTGTGATTTCGCCCATCTGCGACTCAAAAGGAAGCCCTACCCAAGGATGGCATTAGGCCAGGGGGTTCCCATCCTTGGGTCTCCATGAGATGTTTTCATTCCCTCTTAAGATGCGCGGGGCGGGGGGAATCCCTCTTCACCCTGTAGTGTTTTTCCCTTTCTCTCTCTTTGAACAAAGGTGTTCGGAGTGTTCTTTCGAGAGAGTCAACACAAAAGGAATTGGGAAGAAAAAGTCGTTCCCAAGTGTTTTGCGCTGAGGGCGAGGGTCACCGAGGAGTTAACCCATCTTGGACGGCAAAGTTAAAAACCCAACCAGCCCTAACGGCTACTTTTCGAGATGGCCCTGGACGAACGCAGGGACGTCCCCCCCCTCCTCCAAAGAAACGCCAGGGAAAGCCCTTGAGCGTTACCCTGACGGAGTGGGCAAAGTAGCTTACCTTGTTGGTCTGAATTGGCATAATGTTTGTTGCACGTGGGGAGACCTTAACAAGAAGAAACACACAGCCTGCTCTGAGCTAGAAGCCCCTTTTGAAAGCGAACTTTCGCCTTGTTCTCTTAGTAGTTTTACAGGAGTGCCCCCCCCCCTGCGGAGGATCGGGTCCAAGCTGAAAAATGTGGATGATCACAAACTCTGTTTTGGCAGCGTGGTCTCTGGCTCCCTGTAGTGGCCACTTCCGAGATCTTCATCCTTCTTCCTAAAATTTTTCTTTTGATATATTTAATGTTTCCAGACCACTGGTGTGAATCAGCGGATATGGATCCCGTGGATACAGGGATCCTCCTTTACTCGGTCTGGGATCTCTTACTCCCAGCTCATTTTGTTGGTCTTTTACCTGAACTTTTTCGTTCTAGGTTTCACGGAACAGGCTGGAGTAATCAAGTCTCTGGTCCTTCCTGCGTGTCGCCGTGGAGCGTGGCAAAGGCAGAGCATAGGAGATGTGGGGGGTGAGCTGCCCCCTGGCTGGGTTTCTCCTGATTCTCGTGGCCACCAACGTAGAGCGTTCTTCAGCATCCAGGTGAGTCCTCAGCTTCTGTCCCAAGTTCCCAAAGGTTTGGACTGTAATTCCCAGAAACAATATTGAAAAATTAAGGAAAATAATCTGTCTTTAAGAAATCGCTCTTAGGTCTTGTGGGAGGAAAGCCAAGACGGGGCCAGGCGGGCCTCCAGTGGGAGGGAGTTCCACCGTCTACAATCAGCCACCAAAGAGGGCCCTCTCCTCTCCCGGCTCCCCACCAGAGGCGTTTGTGAAGGGGGTGGGACTGAGAGCAAAGGGCCACCTCCCCTGAGGATCGTAAAGCCTGGTCAGGCTCACAAAGGGAGACCCGCTCCTTGGTGTCGCTTGGACCCAATCCGTTGAGGGCTTTGGAGGTCGGAACCAGGATGCAGCAGGATCTGAGATCGCTTGCTTGCTTGCTCGCTTGCAGGCGCCGGGTGTGTTCCATGGAGGTGAAAAGCCGCACCGTCTCCTACCTCTCCTCTCACGCCCAACCCGTGTACCAGCCCTACCTCACCTTGTGCCAAGGGTACAGGTTATGCAGTACGTACAGGTAAGGGTCCTTCCCGGGGTGGCGAGATGGGGGGGGATCCTTCCCCCATTGGACGTAGCTCTTCAAACCTGTTTATCCATTCCGTTTCTCCAGGATTTATTTTTTAAAATGTCCTTTTCCTCGCCCTGTAATTCCCCCAGAACTACCTACAGGGTCGTGCAGCGCCCAGCCTATCGGCAGCTTTCCCGACCCACGCCCGTCTGCTGTCCCGGGTGGAGGCAAGCCGCTGGGCGCCCGGAGTTTGGATGCAATACCGGTAAAACTCTTGATTTTTAAAAGAAATTATTTTTCCAGAGGGGAGCCATTATAATTGGGAGTCTGTTACAGGAAAAAAAAACTGGAGTCTGTGGCTTTTCCCAATTCAGGTATACCCACACTGAATCAGTTACCAGACAGGACCTCTACACTGTGGTCAATCCCATAGATTCAGTGGGTCTCCTCTGGTTGGGTGTCCCAGCGAGATCCAGGACAGAGATGTGTTGTCCCTTAAAGGGTTCAGCAGTTTTATTTGACTTCAGTCCCTGTGGACCCCAGAGTCATTTTTTAAATGTTTATATACATTTACACTTAGTAAATATATGAAGTGCTCAAGAGCTTGGGGGTTTAGACATCTGGCTGCGGGGCCAAACGCTGGCAGTTCGATCCCCCCACTGGGCCTCTTTGACAGGGGCTGGATTAGATGCTCTCTAGAGGACCCCTTCCAGCATTCTAGTTTTAAGAGGGTGATGAAGATCGAGCAAAACTTTTCTTTTTTAAAAAAAAACCACGTGTCCCTGTTGTGTGTTACACACACATTTCTTATGTTTTATTTGACGTGCTTTATTAGGAGTGGGGGGGAAATAAGCCACATTTGATTCAGTTTACATATTTTTTTTTAATTGTCTTGGGAATTATTTGCCTGGGTGGTGTGTAAATATGGACGATCACGACTGCTCAGAAGTGTCCGCTTCCCTCACTTTATTTAGAGGTAAAAAGAAAAAGGAAACCCCCTTTAAAAAGTGCTAATTTTGGCAGACCCCAGATCTGCAAGGATCTGAGGACAGTTATTTTCAGAATATTTCTTGCGAGTTCGGAACGGTCCCATTTGGCTGACGTGGCTTCTCCTTGTGACGTTTCTAATGTCTGTGAAGGAGTACCTTTTTTAGAAAACTCAAAACGGGATTGTGAAAACATGCCTTCGCGGTCTCGGTGTGAATGCTGGCTTTGTTTTTCAGCTGTTTGCCGACGGCGGTGCCAAAATGGCGGGACGTGCGCCCTCCCGAACAAGTGCGCCTGCCCTTCCGGGTGGACGGGAAAGTGCTGCGAGGCAGGTAAATTCTCCCGTGGAGGTGTGTGGTTGTGTTTGTGCCCTTTGGAGCGCAGCTTTGTAGAGCGGGTTCCTCTTATCCGTGGGATCGGTATCTGCTGATTCGCTTTATCGGCTGGCTGAAAATACCAAATCGAAACCCTCAGAAATGCCTATTGATCTGTATTTCCAGGGTGTATTGACCAGAACCGGCCATGCAAGGGAGCCACAGACCATGCTATGTAGAGTGTTTGATGCATATGCGTTTTTCAACATCCTTGGGGGGTTGGAAGCCACAGATCCTGTACCTCCACCCTGGAGTAGCCAGATGTGTTCTGCTCTGCTGATCTGATTCCTAGGAATGGCGAGGTCCTCCTTCCTCACACATCTCCCTCCGGTTTCAGATGTGGATGAATGCGCCGGAGGAAGACACGGCTGCAGCCAGGCGTGCCTCAATGTGGCCGGGAGTTATCGCTGCGCCTGCCAGCCAGGTTACGCACTCCAGGAGGACGAGAAGACCTGCCGGGCCCTGGAAGTGCCCACGGAGGCCCCCGCCACGCTTTCTGGCGCAGGTGAGGTCAACCAGGACCCGGCGGTTTCGTGGGAGGAGAGAGACGCGGCCTGCTTTGACGGTCCCCTGCTGAGACCCAGACCTCGCCTGTGTCGTCCTCGTGGGACACCCCCCCCCCGTGGCGTGCGCCTTCCAGAAGAGACGAGGACTCACCCACGCTGCCCGCGGCTCATTATTACTTTTGGTACGCGCTGTGCCACTTCAAACTCGTACCGTGAGTAATAATGCGTGGAGGGCCAGCACTGAACGCCGGAAAGACGTGGAGCATGGTCGGCGTCGAGCCATGAGGGGCCTTGAACGGGAGGAATTAAGGGGCCAGAAGCCTCCAGAAGGGCCCCCCCTCCATCCTTCCGGACGGACAGGGTCTAGGATTCACACCTGCGCCATCTGTGTTGTGACAAACTCCAGCGGAGCACCTTGAAGGCGACCGAGGGTCACCCTGGATAAGCTTCCACAGGGGGGCAGCCCCGAACTCTGAGACGCCTGGGAAGGGGGGGGAGACCCATTCGAATCACAGGGGGACATCAGCGTCTCACACGGGACGTTTCTGCTTGCTGTGAATTTGTGCAGCTGGAGTCGCCAACCTGAGGGTGCAAAATGAAGTTCAGGAGCTGAGACGCCGAGTGGCCGCTCTGGAAGAAGTGAGTCCCCCTCCAGCACGGGAAGGGAGGCGGTGGGGGGGCTGGGTGGAGAGAGGTTGCTTCCCGGAAGCGCCCGCTGGCCAGAGATTTCGAGAGGGCTCCCGCTTAAAAGAGGGCGGCCGGCACAACGAAACGAAAAAGCATGCGAGGTGCGGTCAGTGTTTTGCTAAGCAAGGGCCACGTTTTTCGGCACAACGAAAGGAAAAAGCATGCGAGGTGCAGTCAGCGTTTTGCTAAGCAAGGTCCACGTTTTCCACCAGGGCATAACCATTGGCACACGGTCAATGGTGCAGTTGTAGCCTGGGGGAAGGTGGGTGGGGGTTGTGTCACACCCCCCCCCGAAAAGACACCACAGGGACATGGGGTGGCCAGCTTCCCCCACCTTACAGGCTTAGGTTAATGAAAAAATCAACATTCCTCCAAAAGTGACCTTTAAAAATACAGTAGGACCCCTTTATCCGCGGGATTAGTATCCACTGATTCACTTATTCACGGTCTGAAAATATTAAAAGAATCCTAGAAATATATATTTCTAAAGGTGATGTTACAAGAACCGGCCACTAGAGGGAGCCAGAGACCTTGCTATGGATAGCAATTCATTACTAAAATAATGTTTGCTATAATCTGCGTGTTTCAGCATCCACGGGAGGGGGAGACTTGGAACTGATTCCCCCCCCCCGAGAATACGAAGTGTAGGCAGCGCTCAGAGAGGGAGGCAGGATCAGTTTAGCCCCTCATCATAGTTTCTTTCCCCCTGTTCTTGGTAGAAGTTTCAGCTCGCTTTGGCCCCTTTCCTGAAACTGGAGACGCCAGGCTCGGAGGGCGCTGCCCACGTGGACCCCATTGGGCTGCTTGTCCACTCCTTGCAGCAACTGGACCGGATTGACTCGCTCAGCGAACAGATCTCTTTTCTGGAAGAGCAGCTGGAGACGTGTAAGTAGGCGCAGCAGGATGTATATGTGTGTGTGCGCGTGCGTGCATGGCCCCCATCGAAAGCAAGTGTAAGTAGGATGTATATCTGTGTGTGCATGTGCGTGCGTGCATGGCCCCCATCGAAAGCAAACTACTTTGCAACTTCTAAAGCCCTGAAATAGGCTAGAGAGTAAATGCATGTCTTTTACTGTAGAAGATAGCTCTGCTTGTAATTGCAAAGCTGCCTGCCGCATCTACTCTAACCATTGCATCTTTGTGCAGGTTCGTGTAAGGATCGACGCTGAGGAAGATGAAGGAGCAAGGAAAGGACTCATGGTGCCTCCCCCCCCCCGCTATCCTGAGCTGGCAGGGCGGGGGCTTTGCTTAAGCCCCAGAGGTGCTAGGCTTTTCCCCGTGGAAGGCAAGCGGGGAATTGCAAAGCTGCCTGCCGCATCTACTCTAACCATTGCATCTTTGTGCAGGTTCGTGTAAGGATCGACGCTGAGGAAGATGAAGGAGCAAGGAAAGGACTCATGGTGCCTCCCCCCCCCCGCTATCCTGAGCTGGCAGGGCGGGGGCTTTGCTTAAGCCCCAGAGGTGCTAGGCTTTTCCCCGTGGAAGGCAAGCGGGGACTTAAAAGCATGCTGTGGAAAGGCGGTGAAAGCCGCCAGCCATGGACGTAAGACCCTGTAGCCCTCACTCCGTATCAGCTGTGGGGGCCCGAAGGCCTCCCAGAAACATTCCTGCTGAAGCCGCTTGGCTGACCCCCCCCCCCGATCCACAAGCCCCCTAAGGCTACTGGGCAGAGAGGTGCGCTTGGAAAACCACGCTTTCTGCCAACACCTCTCTCCCAGCGCCGTTTGGTACCGGACGGGTCGTCTTCAGCTTCCCCCTGGAATCTCTGTGGGCCAGAATCTGATCGGCGTTCATGGACGAGCTGGCAGGGTGGGGGCTTTGCTTAAGCTCCAGAGGTGCTGGGCTTTTCCCCGTGGAAGGCAAGCGGGGACTTAAAAGCAGCGGTCAACACTGTCGTCTCTTCCCCCCTCCCCAGCACTTCACGAAAACAGACCAACACACAGGAGCCACGGACCTCGTTAAATAAATTTTGCTTTATAAAAACCAGTTCCACATAACGCATTTCGGAAACATCAAAAAACCGACAGTAGGTAGTGACCCGTTTTGAAACAAGGCACTTTTGGGCTTTTCGTCTGCGCTCGACGTGCGTGTCGGGGGGGGGGACACACACACATCCATGATCCACCTTGGGAGGAAGAGTTATGTTGGGGGGGGGGGCTTGAGCCACTCTCTGGAGACCAGCCTGTGATAAAACAGGGGTGAGTGCGTGCTACGTGAAGGTCTGTGCAATTTGAAGAGTAATGTCCCTTCCCTTGATGCTGAAGGGGAGAAAGGCTTTCCTCCTCCACTCCTGGTGCGTAGGAAAGAGGACCACCCTGGCCTTTTCTCCCAAGAGAGTGCGGGGTGTTTTGTGGGTGTGCATGGGCGTCTTTTGGAAGAAGCTTCTGTGGTGGCAGAAACAAGACTGCTGGTGGGGGGGTCCCCCCTTCGGTCACCTTTGTGCTGACAGCAATGGGGAGCCCTGCCATTCTGGAAGGCCACAGGGTCCCCCCCCCGATGCTGCAGAGCATGGGCCTCATCCGTGCTTTACTCTTGCAAAGGCACCCGCCCCCGAGACGCTGGGGTGAAGTGCCCATTGTATCACAGGCCCTGGACAGAAAGCTGCCTAGAGTCCTTCTGGAGAAACCCGGGACTGCATAGCCCATGTGCCACTTATTCCAGCTGGAAACAGTGATGCGAGGGAGAGATCTGAGAGGGAGGCCGTGTGCCCCTCAGTCTTCAAACCCAACACAAGAGCCTCCAAGAACTGGGAAAGATTCAGCCAGCTTCCGACAGATCTCTGGATGGTTCAGACTGTTTCTTCCCCCCCACCTCCATTTCCAGATTTTCTGGCCCCATGAGCTGTCTTGGCTGTAGCCCTGCAGCTTTGGCATGAGGCCAAGGGGGGCAAAAAAAAAAATCAGTCCCAAATCCACTGGGGCGTCTCGGTACCCCCCCACTTCCTCTCAATGCTGGAAATGGAGACGTGGTCCTCTCTCTTCCAAAAGGGCCCACGGACCCTCGAGTTTTTGCACAAAACTTCGCAATTATTTCCAGGCTTTGAAGGGAGATGGGGAACCCTTTGTGTGTGCCCACCCTGAAAAAAATGGCCCTTAAGGGCTTTGCATCCTGTGTCATCCACCAGATCGGCTTAAAACCCAGGAACTCTTGAATGCAGTTCCACCTGCCCTCCGAGAGGCAGATCCTCTCAAACATGGATGGTCTGTAACCACCCCCTTCTTTCTTTGGGAGGGGGTCCTGCATCTGAAATAAACCCTATCATTTCTCTTGGGTGGGGGTGGGGAGCTCTCCACCTAAAACAACCAGGACTAAGTGCTTCCGAGAATCCCTGAGCCTAATTTTGACCCCCTCCCGCCCCATCCGAATATAAAGGTTTTTGCACGCAAACATAACATTTCCAAAATCTGCAGCTACTGCACTCTATAAAGAACTCTTTAGAAATTGAAGTAGCATCTTTTATGTACATAGACACCCAGCGCCCTTCACCAGACAAACGAGACCAAAGGAGAAGGGGAATCCCCAACACAGAATAATAATAATAGCAGTAGTAATAATAATAAGAAAACTACAACCCAGATCAGGCTGGAACGCCCACAGAGGAGCAGCGCCTCTTTCCTCTTGGTGCTCTGGAATCGGGTATATTTTAGATTGCATGCCCTAAGCTTCAGGGCCTCAATCCGAGGGTGGGTTTTTCCCCGCACAGCCCCAAAGGAAACCAACGGGAGTGACTGCATAAACCCAGCTCGCTAGCGTGCCTTTCAGCAGCGGCTTTCGTCCCGGAGCGTTCTGCAGAGGCCATGGGTCTGGCCGATAGGAAGCGTGGCCCCTGACGCCGCAGAAGATCAAAAAATTTGCAAAATTGAACCCAAGCTATCAATGCTGGCGAAACAGCCAGAAGAATGGTCCTTAAGTCCGCGGCACCCAACCAGCGGCCAAGGGCTTTGTGCGGGGGGTGGTGGTCAAAGGCTAGCCCTAACACCTTTAGGGACGGAGCTCTCTAAAACTTGAGCCTGTGGACTGCTATCATCCTATCTGCCCCCCTTCCTCTATCGGGGGTGTAGTGATTCCCACTGTGAGCCCTTTGGCATCTTCATAACGAATAAGTAGAAACAATTAACCGGTGCAGAGATTTCCTAAATCTAAAGCAAACTGCAAACTCCCATTTCCCAAATATCAGCCCTCTTAACTGCAGCTTTGCGGGGTGACCGTATGGAAAACGCGGGCGGTCTGAAGCGGCTCGGGAAAGCTTTCGGGGCCTTCCGAGTTTCATCCCCTCGTTTGCCAGACGGGGTCGGCCTTCCAGCCGTTTTGACTCCCGAGAGGACGGTGAAGGGGCCCTTCTGAGGTCCCCAGAGAAGTCGCCTTCCCTCCCACCGAAGCCTGGGGAGGCCTTAATATTTCCACCCCCCCCGGCACGTTCCGAATTGCAGATTCCGTTACGAACGGTCACAGAGCGTGCCGCGTGGCTGCATGGTCCCGTGTGTGTGTCCGTGTGCCCAGTGGTTATAAAAGTACGTCCACAAGAAAACCAGAATCTCCTTTTTACCCAAGAAAAGGATCATTCCTGGTTCAACGCAGAATCCCGTTTTGAAATAGATGCCTCCCCCCCTCCACCGCAGCAAGAAATTGCTCGAAACGCTCGGGAACCGAACTTCCATTCAACGGCCACCATTTTTCTAAGGGAACCTCTGGTGGCCACGACGCCCCACGTTCATTCCGACGCTGCTTCAGTTTTCTGTGCAGTTCGGAAACGAGGACGAGGGATAACCATCTCTGTCTTGGAAGGGATGAGGGAGCAGCCCGGGGGTTGCACGGCCCCGGGGGAACAAAAAGACCCATGTGCCCCTGAGTTGTACCTGTGAGAAGACACCTGCAGAGGAGAAGGAGGGACCAGGGATTGGGGACGGACGTCCCGTCAAATCAGCAAGAACGGAGCGTTCTGCTGGGTTTATGATTCCCGAGAGAGGGGCCTCGACGGAGGCTCTGTTCCAACCCCAGAGGGGCTTGTGGTTCCTGGGTGTAGATACGCCAAAGGGCCCCCAAGTCTTTTAGGAACAATGCAAACCCCCCACCCCTGACCCACAGCAAGGGAGCGACGAGGGCGCCGTTTTTGGCAACCGTGAGAGGTCCTCCCGGTGGGTGGGTGAGCGAGGGCGGAGTGCCACGTTTCTGCCCAAAAGGTCTTTAGTGCGAAACGCTGGGGCCCCCTCCGTTGACTTCGGCGGGCCGCTCCGAGATCCGGAACAAGGTTTCCCTCATGGCGGTGTAGCACCGGTCGGTGAGTTCGTCCACGTCGGAAGCGGTCAGGCCCTCTGTGGGGACGGGCGGGAGGACCTCCACGCGGATTTTGCCTGGAGAAGGGGAAAGAAGGCATCCGTTCATCTCGATGGGCATTCGGTTGTCTGCCAGCCGTCTCTATAGATATTGGGGGGGGCGCCACGTGAATAGGAAGGTGTCATAAAGAAACATGGACACTGCTCTGTGGGTTGCTTACGGGTGTATGTTCTCCAAAAGGGGGGGGGAATCCACCCACCCACCCAAATGAAACACAAAACAAAACAAAGGGAGGGGGAAAGAAGGCTTTTGGAGGAGAAGAGTTAGAGAAAGAGAGAAACTTTCAGTTACCCCCACCTGATGTAAACAGATGCTTTTTGGGATTGTAAAATGAAGTGAAGGAAGAATACACCACGGGGACAACTGGAACCTGGAAACAAAGAAAAAGAGACACCGATGGGGGAAGGTTAGCTACACCTCTGGAATGGGCCATAAAAGACTGGCTATCGTTGCTGCCGTAGACTGGCATCTTATGTGTGTATGTATGTATGTAAAAGATTAACAATCTTTTTTTTTTTTTGGTATGGCTGTAATGACAATCTTCAAGTGAATGAAGAATAAAATTGCAAGGACATATAAACGACTCCTGGATTGGCCTTAGCATCATAAAGTCAAACCGCCTCAGTTTGGAGGAACTCCAGAAAACTCAACCAAAGTGCTGAAGGCTCAAAGTAATTTCTAGGGTCTACGGGCTATTCTGGACCCAGAGAAAAACCATTTTCAGGTAGGGGAGCCTATAATAAAAGTAAACAGCCACCCTCCTTTTTTGGATTTTGTGCATAGAAAGGCCACCCATCCCCCCCTTTTCCCCCTTCGTTACCTGTGTCTGGATGGCTAGATGGAAGGCGCCCTTCTTGAACGGCAAAAGGTCCCCGCTCCCATTCCGTGTCCCTTCCGGGTAGATCCACACCTTGACCTGTAGGGAGAAAGGGGAGGCCCTCCAGGTCAGAAGCCCCACGGCCTGCATTGGGAGGAGAGCCCTCCTCGTGTCATCTTCCCCGGGACACCTCCTCCCCTCGCTTTGTCCACCCCTGCAGAACCTCACCGTGGCATCCTCTAGCATTTATTCCCCCACTGGGCCTCCTTGACTTGATAGACTAAATTACTGAACCCTAATCTGGATGTCTCACATCATCATCATCATCATCCTCTTAGAACTGCAGAGCTGGAAGGGACCCTGTAGATCATCAAGTCCAGCCCACTTGCCAAGGAGGCATCCATGGAGGAATTGAACCTTTGGGTACATGGCCCAGCTCGCTGAACCTCCCCCACGTGCTCCACTCACGTTCTCGGACATCATGGCTTGACCGACGTCTCCCATCACCGACTTCGCGTTGCTGGTACTTTTCCGGTTGATGAAGATGACCCCGCCCAGGTACATAATGAGGCCCACCGAGCCCATGTACATCAGCTCCCGCTTCGCGATCTGGACGCAGCGCTCGGGAAGGATCTCCATGAGTCCTGAGGAAAGGGCGCAAGCAGGATGTTCAGGAGGCGAACCCATGCTGGGGCTCGCTAGGTCCAGCCCAATCTCTCTTTCTCCCTCTTGCAAGTGATAATTAGGAAGGCATCATCATTAGGGTGGAACAGATGCTGAACTGGTGGCGCTGATTTCCAGTGGCAAGACCCCGGCCCAACTTGCCACTGAGAGGGTACAAATTAGATTTATGTTTCTGTGATTAGACATGGGCACGAAACACAAGTTTGTTGGTTCGTGCCGATTCATTTATCGGCCAAACCGGTGTTGAGCGGTTCCTTGCCCCGCCTCCCCCATCGGGCGCTCTCTCAGAGCCAGCACCCCGGCTTCCCTGCCGTGCCCCCTCTGTGCGCTGCCTCTGAGAGGGCGCCTGCTAGAGGAGGCAGGGCTCTGAACCACCGAACACCTGTTTGGCTGAAAAACGAACTGCCACGAACCGACGAACCAGCGTCTCGTGCCCATCTCTATTTGTGATGCTTTACACTTCTTTCAAAATCGGTGTCAAGGTTTTGGTAACCTTGATAAGATGGAAAGAGGGACTCCAGAGACTCTTCTCGTGTCAAGAGCTGGGAGCCTTTTTTCAGCCGGCGAGGACCAAATTCAATGCCAAAGGAGGGCGAGATCAGCATTTCAGTCGTGGGAAGTGGCAAGGCAGACGGAGGAGGATGAAAACACCCATCGCTAGGTAGATCTTACAAGAAGCGTCCCGGCTTTGTAGCAGGCACAGCCCACTGGAAAAGCCAGAAAACCACTCACATGGTGGATGATGCCCTGACAATGAAATGCCAGAGGGACAGATTTAGCCCTCAGGTCGGCTGGATTTGGCCACAGGCTCTAAATAGCCACACTTGGGATCCCATGAGGGGCCCCGAAGGCCACCCATAGCAGGGCTCCAACCCTTTGGGGGCCCGCAGGCCTGAACGCTTCTCACCGATCATGTCCAGGATGCTCTGGTGATTGGAGATGATGACGCACGGACCCTCGATCTCGAAGTGCTCCAGGCCCTTCAGCTCAAACCTCAGGCCGTAGATGTACTTGAAGGTCCGGACGACGTTTTTGATGATCCTGCGGGCGGATTGGGGTGCGAGAGGAAGGGGAGCCGTGTTTAAACCCAGGAAGGTTAAAAAACCCAGCACACGAGTCAATTCTCCGCCACAAAGCTGCGCGTCTTCCCGACAGACGACCGGCTTTCTAAGAGACCCTAGACTGGGCTGCAAGGTTTCCCTACAGACTGGGACACACAGACAGACAGAAGAAAGAAACACACACACACACGAGTGAAGAAAGAGAAGTTGAAGAACCTCACTTTCCAACCAAAAAACTGACTCTTTGCAAAAAAGGGCACACTTCCTTATATGCTGTGTAGCCATCATTTTTAAAATCAACTTCAAACATGCCAAACTTGTTTTAAAAACAGGGTTTTTTTCCGCAACCTGTAACCACACCCTGTTGCACAAACACACACTTTTATATACAAAACAAAATCTTTCCACCAAGGAGCCGCGCAGGCCAATGGGCACACGAGTGCCATTAACAAACCCTGATTTACACTTCTCCACCGGCACACATTCACACCCCCGACGATCCACTAAATCCTGCCACTTCCCGAGCGAGGAAACGCAGATCTACACCTACAACGTATATAGAGTACAAAATAGCCACCGATGGTGTCGGACTTTTCGAGGTTCCCCCATTCATGGGGGTCGCTGGCAGTGACCCGACACGCAAACCAACAATGGAATGGATGACGGGTCGCTTCTATTGTGTCTTTTAGGCTGCACACCATTATTTTCCGACTGTCAACCAACTAGTCAGGATCAGCAGAAAGTCAGTCCACGGATGTCGTGATCAGTGAACAATTCGGAGGACGGCTGCGAAAGCGCTCGCGGAACGACGACATGTCGCGGCATGCCCCCGTTCTGCCAGCCACGCTTGTGCAACGTCTCCGAGGTGGATTTGGGAATCCAATTTTCAGTGTCTAAAGCTACAAATTAAATTTGGACTAAGCCACGAGACAAAGCTTTCTGGAAACTTACTGGGAGGGAGCACTTCTGAAAGCCACTCCTTGGAATATCTCACATACTTTGCAAAACCCTTCCTGGGTTGAGAGACGTTGGACGCCACTTCAAAACACACCCCACGCCCATGAAGTGCAAAGCTTCCATTCCTTTCCCAGGCTCTTGGGCAAACCGGTCATGCCCGCCATTACAACACCTCACGAAAGCCACGTTTTTTTTAATAGGGACTTGAACTTGGGGTTTGAGACTGGGTGCCAAAGACTTCTCTGCATCCCCTGCCCGGAGGAACGCCGTAGCCAAAAAGCAGGAATGACCGACGGACCATCTTTAGCAATGAGGACCCAGTGAAGAGACACGTCTAAAGGAATGCAAGGAGTGGAGAGAATGGACCTCCCCAGTTCCTAGTTACTTTTTTTCCTGAAATAAATTTATAAGAGCATTCCAAAGCATTTTGGAAGAATTTTGAGGACTATATTCAAGGAGAGGCTTTTCTTTTTAAAACTACCCAAAAATAAGTTTATTACTTGCTATTCCTACAGTATGCAATGCAGTTAGAATGCCATCTGTATCTTGTAGATGACAAGACACGTTTTCCTGTCAAAAGCTTGATCTTTGATTGGTTTTATTAGTTTTTACTTGCAAGTTTAAAAAAAAACTGGGAAGACTTTTGAGCCCATTCAAGTCTTCAGCCAAGGAAGGGGCAAGTTAACCATTACCAGAGGGGTCCCCCCCTTCACACACATACACACACACACACACACGAGGGGCAAGTTAACCATTACCAGATGGTCCCCCCCTTCACACACAGACACACACACAGACACACACACGTGTGTGGGCCAGCCACTCAGCAATGGCCTGAAACGACTCAGCGACACCTTGTCCTCCTCACCTGAGGGAGGGCAAGGTCCGCTTTCGAAGGCATAGATGCTGAGAGGGACGCCGCCAGACACACACACACACACACACGTCACAATGCTCGATAGTGACCCCTGAAACAGGTCATGCGCTGGCGCCCTTTGGAAAGGCGCCCATTTTCGGAGCATGCCGGAGACACCTGCCCTGCAGAGATCTGGGTTGTGGTCCTGGTTCTGCCCTCACGGTGTTGCGCCTCCTGGGAGGGGAATCAAAGCAGACCCAACCGAATGGGCTGAGGAGAGCCCTTTTCAAAGACTTGAAACATCATCCTTCACAGGAAGGGCGTGACTCGAACTCCCAACCAAGACCCCCCTGACCTCTCCCTGAAGTTAATTCCCCTTCGGCCTCCCAGTTCCTGAAGAACGGACCTGAACAGCCCACTTATGTGCCAAGGCAGGCTTTCCTCGCGGCTTACGTGACGCGACCTTTTCACTTTATCCTTGCACTTTATCCTTTATCCTAATAAGATCCATTCTTAGCCTCCAGAGCTAAATGCAGAGGCCCCTCTGCCTCAGTTTACTTAATGCTCACGGGGAAGAACATCTGTTTTATGTCCTGCAGAGAGAGGAGGGGCTTGGGTAGAGATGTGGAGGTTTTGGGGAAAAAAAACCTCAAAGCAAACTTTCTTGAAAAAAATGGACATTTGTCTTCTTTTTTTTCTTGTCCTTCCTTCCTTCCTTCCTTCCTTCCATCCTTCCACCCATCCACCCATCCACCCATCCATCCATCCATCCATCCATCCATCCACCCATCCATCCATCCATCCATCCATCCATCCATCGCTCCTTCCTTCCTTTTCTCTTTCTTTCTTTTTTGTCCCAAGGACAAAATTTAATTGCTTTTATTTTCAAAGCCCTCGGAGGGCAGAAGGAGAAGATTTGGACGGGTTTCTAAAGCCGGAGCCGAAGTTCCAAGGACCTCAAGAGGCAGCCCTTCCCGTCTAGGAGCAAAGAAACCCTCGAGAACATTGCGTCCCTTCCCCCCCCCAATCAACAAACTCGTTTCCTCAAAAGATGACGAGGAGAATGACTTTTGTGCCACTTGACTTTCCCTCACTTGGTGAAGTCATGGCGTTGAGTCACCGTCTAATTGTGGCCAGAGCGAACCTTCACCCAGGATGGAGCAGAGGCCGGCCGGATCCACACCGTCACCCCATGCCTCTCCTCGCTTCCTCGGTCGGTCGGCAGGTCCCTCTCTCTTCCTGGGGGGGGGGCAAGGTTTCACACCCCAAATGACACAGGAGAAAGGGCACCCGGGGCGAGCAGAGGCGGGCTTGGGCGATCAAACCAGCCACCTGACACCGACGTCCTTAGTTTCCCTGCACCAAAAAGGCGAAAGGGCCGTGGAAGAAGGGACCCTCGCTAGCCTCGCTCCCTCGTGGTTCCTTGCGCAACATACACGGGCGTTCCTTCTGCAAACACCCACGACTGGAGATCCGTGGCTTGCAAAGAACCGGCGGCCCAGATCCTGCCGCGTGGTTACGCCCACATTGCCGTGATAATTAACAGCGGGGATCTAATGAGGAATCTAAGTAGGGAGTCACTCCTTAGAGACGACTTAAAGCAAGGGGGTGGCACCGGGCCTCTTAACTCCGGTGTAGATTTTGCCCCCCCCCGGGGATCTCTGGCCACCTTCAAAGGCATTGCTTTGGCAGAAGGTTTGCAGGGTTACCAACCAGAGGGCTCAGCTCGTCCAAAGCCTGACTCGCCTGCGAGGCTGCACGGCGGTGGCGGGTTCAAGTCCCGCTCTCCCTCTCCAAAGGGATAAAAGGGCACTTTTGAAGGGAGCTTGTAAGAACTGCACTGGCATCAAGAGGCCCAGCAGTGCTGGGTAGCTGACGCCGGCTGACCTCCGGCTAGCCTTCCTCACGGGGGGCTCAC